CTTTGTATTGTTTTCTTTGTTTCTATTTCATTAATTTCTGCTGTCATTTTTGTTGTTTCTTCTCTTCTGCTGGGTTTGGGTTTCATTTGTTCTTGCCTTGCCAGTGCCTTGAGTTGCAGTGTTAGGTCATTTATTTGGGCTCTTTCCAATTTTTTAGTGTAGGCACTTAGACTTATAAACTTTCCTCTTAGGACTGCTTTTAATGTGTCCCAGAGGTTTTGTTGTGTTGTATTGTCCTTCATACTTTTATTTCTTTCTTAATTTCTCTTTTGACCCATTCATCATTTAGGAGTGTATGGTTTAATCTCCATGTGATCATGTGGTGATTAGGGCTTCTTCCAGTGTTGATTGTAAGCTTTATTGCATTGTGGTCTGATAGACTGCATGGAATTATTTCAATATTTTTGTACATGTTGAGGTTTGTTTTGTGGCCTAGTATGTGGTAAATTTTTGAAAAATTTCCATGGGGTGCTGAGTAGAAAGTGTATTCTTTGGTGTTTGGGTGGAATAATCAAAAGATGTCTGTTAGGTCCATTTGATGTAAGGTATTGTAAAATTCAGATGTCTCTCTGTTATTTACCTGTCCTGTTTACCTATCTAATGGAGACAATGTGGTATTGACCCCCCCTACTATAAAGGAGTGGGTCTCCCTGTAGCCCTAGCTGACCTGGATTCACTGTGGAGGCCAGGCTTGCCTCGAACTCACAGAGATCCACCTGCCTCTGTCTTCCAAGTGCTGGGCTTAAAGGCATGCGCCACCACGCCCGGCTGTTGTATTGTTTTTATGAAGTTGGGTGCACCAGAGTTTGGTAAATATATGTTCATGATTGTAATATCATCTTGGTTTATTGTTCTTTGATCAGAATGAAGTGGACCTCTTTATCTCTTGTGATTAATTTTAGTTTAAAGTATTTTGTCTGATATTAGAATTGATATGCCTGCTTTTTTCTTAGTACCATTTATTTGGTAAATTTTTTTCCATCCTTTCACTTTAAGATAGTGTCTGTCCTTGAAAGTGAGATGAGTTTCTTGCAGACAACAAAAAGATGGGTTTTGTTTCTTAATCCATTTACCTAGTCTGTGTCTTTTGACTGGGGAGTTCAGTCCATTAATATTTAAAGTTATTAATGGAAGATGAGTATTGAATCCTGTCATTTTTATTTCTGTTTACATTCTCGATATAGCTGTACTTTTCCACAGTTATACCTTCATTGAATTTCTTTCCTCAGCCCCTTGGGTATAGTCATTCCTTTCTTCAGCTCTTTGTATTGCTTCCAGAACTCTCTGAAGGGCTGGTTTTGTGGACATGAATTCCTTCAGCCTGTTTATGTCATGGAATAGTTTTCTTTCCCCTTCGACTATAATAGACATTTTGGCTGGGTATAGTAATCTGGGTTGGCATCTGTGGTCATTTAAAACTGGGAATGCTTTGGTCCAGGCTCTTCTGGCTTTCATAGTTTGCACTGAAAAGTCAGATGTAATCCTAATGGGTTTTCCTTTATATGTGACTTGTTGTTGCTCTTTTGCAGCTTTCAGTATTGTCTCTTTGTTTTGTATGTTTAGTGTTTTTACTATGATGTGCTGTGGAGAGTTTCTTTTCTGGTCCTGTCTGTTTGGTGTTCTATATGCCTCTTGTATTTGTATGGGCATGCCTTTCTTTACTTTTGGGGAATTTTCCCCTACGATTCTGTTGAAGATCTGGTCCATGCCATTAGCTTGGGATTCTTCTCCTTCCTGTATGCCTATGATTCATAAGTTTGGTCTTTTTATGGTGTCACACAATTCCTGCATATTCCATTCTTGTGATTTCTTCAGTTTTTCATACTCTTTACTTGAGTGGTCTAGTTCGTCCACTTTATCTTCCAGTCTTGATACTCTGATTTCCATTTCATTCATCATGTTGGTGAGGCTTTCTCCTGTTGTTTCTAATTGGCTTACTGAGTTTCACTTCCTTCTTCATTTCAGCCTGAGTATTCTTCAATATTTCTCTTTTCTGAATTCATTCAGAAGTTTATCCCTATCTTCCTTCAGTTCTTTGATTTCTTTGTTTGTGTGTTCTTTAAATTCACTGAATCCTTTTATCATGTTTATAATTATTCTTTTGAGTTCCATGTCCTGCATTATCTCTAGGGGGTTCTCATTGTATTCCTCTAGAAGACTATTGGTATTTGGTAGGGATATGTTATTTTGGTTTTTCATATTCCTATTTTTTCTCTGTGATTTTTAACATGTGAATTTCTTTTGTAATTTCTGATTCTTGTGTGAGACTCAAGCCTTCAAATTTAGGTCTGCTTCTTTTTGTAAACTTTATATGTCTTTGTGGTTTGCTTTTTGGGCATGAAAAGCTGGTTCCTCTAAGGTTCCAGTTCTCTCTCTTGATTTTTATATTGGAGTGGCCAGATTGCTTTTGTCTTCCGGAGTTCCCACAGAGGCCCAAGTCAGATGAGGATCAGATGCTCTCAGGCTTTCTCCTAAGGTCTGGATCCCTCCAGGAAAGATTTTGGCCTCAGGAATTTGGGGGTTGGACTGGCCTGGGAGCTGGGCCCAGGAAAGATGTTGCTGTAGGGCAGCTGGTGGCCCTGCCACCCAGAGATTCAAAGGAAGATGGGGGCAGGGAGCAGCCCATAGGGCTCCTGGGGACTGCACTGAGGAGCTGGGTTGGTCTGGATGCAAAGGATCAGGAAGAGGAAAGGTCAGCCCCAGAGTCCAGGAAAGAGGCTGGCAGGTTGTGCAGGCCCAGGGAAGTAGAGGGACGTGAGGGTGGGGCCTGGCCCAGAGTGTTCCCTGGAGAGAGGCCTCTGTGGGCCGTGCCAATAAATAGAATTTTTTAAAAAGCAATTAAGACAAGTTAGTGGTAATTAAATTTGGAATATAAAGAATAACTGTTTGGTTTGTATTTATATTCTGTGATTTATTATTTAAAGGGTAAAACTATAAAACCAGGCGTGGTGGCATATACCTGTAATCTCAGCTCTCAAGAAGCTGGAACAATGGAGCTGGAGAGATGGCTTAATAGTTAAGAGCACTTACAGCTCTTCTAGAGGAACTGGGTTTGTTTCCCAGCACCCACATGTTGGCTAACCATTGTCCCTAACTCCAGTTCAAAGGGGCTTTGACTCTCCCTCTTCTGATCCCTGCAAACACCAGACATGCACATGGTGCAGTTACATACATGCAGGTGAAACACTCATACACATAAAATAAAAATAAACTGTTAAAAAAAAAAAAAAAAACCTGAGGTAAGAGAACTGCAAGTTAGAGCTCAGCCTGGGCTACATAGCCTGATCCTGTCTCAAAAAACAAACAAGAAAAAGTTTTAAATAAAACTATAGGTTAAGATTCATGTATGGCTCTCTAATATAGTGAGGTAATATATGTTGAAGTTTGTGGAAACAAAAACAACGAAGACAGACAATTGATTATATACTACTTGAAGATGAAAAGAGCTCCTGAAGGGCTGGAGAGATGGCCCAGGAGTTAAAAGTACTTGCTGTTCTTTCAGAGGGCTCAGGTTTGGTTCCCACCATTCATATCAGATGGCTCACAAACACCTAGAACTTCAGGTCTGGGGATTTGACACCCTCTTGCTTTTTTAGGTTCTGCATGTGCACACAAAAACAAACACAAGATGATAGATATAGATAGATGATAGATAGATAGATAGATAGATAGAT